TGTTTTAAATGTGGTAAACTTTAGATTTTTTTTTTTTTTTTTACTTTGTACCGCGCTTCGAGCCTTTGGGGATGAAGCGTGTTTTTGAAATGAACTTTATTATTATTATTATTATAAAGCTTTAGTGAGCCAAATAGATTAATGACACCACCTCTGTTAGAGACACAAACAATATTATTTGGCTTTACTTTAATAAATCAAGAAAATACAAGCAAACACTTTTCAGCAATAAGTGAGTTATTTATATTATTTGGTCATCCATAATATTTGGTACACACACACAAAATATTTAAAAAAAAAATATATATATATATATATAATATATATAAATGAGTCTCGGTCTATGAGATAGGCAATGTTCTCGGTCTCTGAGATAGGCAATGTATTTAAATTTACATTTTAAAAGGGGGGTGTGATGCATTGCTAATGTTTAATGGTACTTTTAAAAAAGTGAATCATTTGTTATTCATATTGTGCGTGCAATACAAATATTTCTCTAGTTTTTGAAGTCTATACTATAATACAATCTAACCCAATTTTTAGCATAGCCGCTGTGTGTGCCCTGGAAATTGCAGGGGCACGGGGACTTCGGATATTTAAGTTAAGAGCCCCAAACTTACTTGCGATCTGGATTTTTTAAAAAAAATTATGCTATCAGTACTGAACTTTGAATGGATGGGAAGCAAAACTTAAATTTGACTTAGGGGATTCCAAAAAGCTAGTGACGTCACTGATCCTAATCAAAAGCTAGCACAAATAAAATCTTAACGACATGTTGGAGACCATTTTTTTTGGTACGTGGGGGGGGGGGGGGGGGGTTAAAAAAAGAAAGTTNAAAAAAGAGAATGTTATGTGGGGGGACGGGACAATTTTAGGTGCTCAAAAGGGGTACATTGGATTGGGAACCTGGCTCCGTTAAAGAATTTATCGAGCGTCGCTATTTTTGTCAACACCCAAACATGTCCCCCCCCCCCATCTTTGTCCACCCCCAAAAATGTCCCCCATCTTTGTCCACACCCAAACATGTGCCCCATTTTTGTCCAGCCCCAAACATGTGCCCCACCTTTGTCCACACCCAAACATGTGCCCCATCTTTGTCCACACCCAAACATGTGCCCCATTTTTGTCCAGCCCCAAACATGTGCCCCACCTTTGTCCACACCCAAATATGTGCCCCACCTTTGTCCACACCCAAACATGTCCCCCACCTTTGTCCACACCCAAACATGTGCCCCACCTTTCTCCACCCCCAAACATGTCCCCCATCTTTGTCCACACCCAAACATGTGCCCCACCTTTGTCCACCCCAAACATGT